TCCCCTCATTCGCTACTTCCCTATCCCCGGGGATTTAGCGGTTTGACTGATTACACATTCGCACAGAGTCCAACGAATTGTCTTTCCAAGCAGGTCAAGGAAGTTTTGAGCCGGTGACTGCAAAATCTCGTGCGCTGTCTTAGTAGCTTTACAGTAGTCTTTTCAACCCCCCAGAGGTTAATAAACAAGGTAAATAATATAGATATATTCAGGGCTCGACACTAACAGTAGCCCTCTTGCCTCAGATTAGTAGAAATTCAGTTTTGGCCAGTGTTTTTGGCTTCCACTGGCCAGTTTGGCTAGTAAACGAACTGACATTGTCGTAGCATCTAAGATGTCACCAGCCACTTGGTTAGTAAGTTGAAAAGTTAGTGTCTAGCCCTGAATTATTTGAATGCATGATCATATTGCACTAATACTGTACTCAATAAAGTAGGACAAGACGAACAATGAATTCAGCTGATCGTAAGACGAACACTGGTTGTTGTTGAATTTTGCAAATTTGACACTTTTAATGGTTTAATCATTTTAGCTTGGCAAAGAAAATACTTCAGTTCATAAACTCATATTTTCTTGCAGATTTTCTGAGATAACTCAATTGTTGTGAAATTTGTGCTAATCGACCGACATAATTATGCAATAGCTGTAACTAATAAGTGGATCGAAAGTTGCCAGGTAAAATGTAGCTTTTGATGTCAGATTAAGCCTTTTTTTCACAAAAGCTTTTAGAGATAGGTTTCTCAACGTAGGTTTCTCAATTACAATATCTACCTTCACATTTCATGAACTAAGATACGATGCTCGCCGGTTTGTATTTTTACTTCGATTACATTTCCGTCACCGAGTGGAGTTGCGTGACCAAGTGAAAGACAACAGTGGAAGGCAACGTTGTTAACGTTGGCTGTTTGCAGTTTAATACTCGTCCGCTTTGGAAAATTTTTGAAAATAAAGTCCTAAATTTTTCTTCAGAATATATTTGAGATCAATATACTACAATCAATAACAATATTTCATTGAAAAGAGTAACAAAATGGATGGATTATGTTCGTCATTTTCAAATCCGGTGGCCTTATCCCGTGACTTTCACACCCGGTCTGTGAAGGCCACGGGTGATTACCCCCTTCTCCAAGTTCTTGTTAGAGCCTCCCCTGACCCCGAGCCCCTTTCTGTTCTTGCTTGAAAAGTATTCAATAACATTTAGAAACATGTTTAGCCATTAAGTACATTTTTGTGGTATAGTGATGTCAAGCAAGTTTATGTACAATACATTTTTGTTAATGACTTAAATTTAAAGGCATATAACATAGACTAAGCTTTACGTTCCCCATGAAATATTTAAATTCTATGTTTGTATAGCTGTTTATGTCACCATTTCTGTAAAATTGAGCAGGAATTTTCCAGCTCAGATTTAATATACATTTACAGTTACATGTCATTAGGTCGGTAAAATCATCAAGATATCACACAAACCGTAAAAATAAAGCAAATAACGAGACAAAGGTAATTGTAGCCTGGTCTGCCCTTTAGGCAGGATGATTCATAGAGAAAGCTTGAACATGATATTGGAGTTCTGAAATATTAATTTCATTGTATAGATTTACTATTTACTATCATTTTTTTATCTACATACTTTTTGTCATAATCACGGAAGTTATCATAATGCCAGAAGGAAGAGGTTTCTCATGGCGACAACTGCTGACAGTGGAACCTGTTCTGTTCCTGTATGCATTTGGTTTGTTCATGAATATTCCAGTATCGCAACAGTTTATATACCACAGGCTAAGTGAGGCAAAGGGATATCCTTATCATTTTCAGCAAGACACAGGGTGTGAGGGGAAGAACTTGAATGATTCCATGAAAAAGCTTGAGAAAGAGGTATGGAATAGATGTAATGCATTTAAGCCTCCAACCTTGTGGTGCGGTAATTCTATTTTTTCTGGCGAACCATTATAAACTACAGCCAATCCACAGTACTCTTAGAGGCCTGGATCCAGTTGTTCTAAGGGCAGATAATGCTATCCAACAGATAAATATTCCCAGGGATGAGTGTCAACAAAACCTACTGCCCTGTCCACCACATAGAGATTTTCCCTGTGGATGGCCTTATCCCTCCTTGGAACAACTGGGACTTGGCTGCATAGAAATAATTTGGAATTCAAATTTAGTCTTGAGTGTTGTGTGGTGTAAATGGTTTGCATTGTTTATGTGCGTGGTTGAATTATTAGACACCACACCAGTATTGTGACATGTTCAATAACAGACTTTGTTTGCAATTGTGGCTTGTGTGTTATCAGTTCTGGAGGTTCAGTTACAGTAGGTTTGTTTGTTGTGTTCTTTAGATCACAGTATTTCATCATCCAGCCATTTGTGTCTGTTCAGTTTTCAATTAATGAATGCTGATAGATAATTAATGAAGTGTTGTACTGATTTGAGTTTTTTAAAACTAGTTATATCTACCGGCTCTTACTAAAAGCATTGCAGCACAAGCTTTTCTTCTCCCATGATTCAATTGAAGACCTTGAGAAAAGCAAGCCTGCACAAAAACAACAACAACAACAACAACAATTTATTTAAGATTAGAAATATAGCTAAGTACATTGGTTTTTCCCTGCAAATAGCTTATGAACTAATTGAGGCAGGGAGATCTAAGGACAGTTTACAAGTACAGGATTTATCTATAGATGGACTAACAATGAAAGCACTACTATGCAGTAAATAGAATAAACATAAAAGAGAGCAAGTATATTAAGATTACAAAAAGAGGCTAACCCAAAGTGTTAAATAACTTAATAAGACGGGAGACTTCGACATAATCATCTTCTGACCGTAAAAAATTAAGTAGTAACTCCTTTATCTTTTTACCAAAAGATGAAAGTTTGAGTTGTTTAATTGAATAGGGGATAGAGTTCCAAATTTGAGCACCACTTCTTGAGAAAGAAACATACATTTTATCTTTTTAGAGAATTTGACAAAATACAAGTCACTAGAGACTGATCTTGTTCTGTAGTGATGAATCTGACTTGTTTTAACAAACTGATTGAGTATACCAACTGGTGCTGTCTGTCTGTTGATATCATACAATAAATAGCTACAATCTCTGAAAAATAGGCTTGGTTGGGGAAGACAATTCAATTTGAGGAAGAAGGGTACAGTGTGCTCCTTAGACTTACTGAAGTAAATAAGATGTAAGGCCTCTTTTTGTAGAATTACGATCTTTTTTTGAAATTCACGGCACAATTTCCTCAAGCATAAATACTCTAAGTTAGATAAGGGACAATTAATGAATTATAAACTGAAAGTAAGACACGACGCGGGACATAATGTCGAATCTTGGCAATAATTCCTATTGACTTGCTAATTTTGTGGCAGATAGATTCTATATGGTATTTCCATGAAAGATTGAAACAATCATTWAG